AGAGAGAGAGAGAGAGAGAGAGAGAGAGAGATTTCAAATGGGCTCATTGTATGAACCCTATCTTTAAATTAATATTCTTGAATTTATGTTAAAGATCACTATGTTATAAAACAAAAAATATAATTAAACCATTTATTCTTAAGTAAAAAAAGATTCTAACAATAAGCATTTATATATGAGAGAGAGAGAAAGAGCTAACATGCTTCAAGCCTATATTACATTACCTTTACATATCTAATTTAAGCTTACGATAATCGCAGCTCAAAGGCATGCTTGAAAAGCATGATACTTGTTGTATTACCTTCCGGTTCGAAGTAGGGACCTTTAGTGTGTAAGACGAACGTGATAACTAATTACACCAGAACACCACTTGTTGTATTACCTTATGCTGTATTAGTTTTTATTCACAAGAAGTACCATGCTCAAGTTCCACATCGAAAAAATAAAAGTTTAACATGAATAAAAACCTCCTCAGTACCGTATTTCATTGCGTGCTTGAAAAGCATGATGAAGCATGAGGCAGTGTGCATGTGGCCGTACTTGCACAATGCCATGACTGCCCCGATGCAATACTTGGTTTGATAACGTACCATAACTGCCCCGATGCAATACTTGGTTTGATGACATCATAATACACGGCCGAATCCCGTTTTTGGATGGATCCGGAACGGCCCAGTCGATACCCAATCCGGATCGCTCGGTTTCGGATCGTCTCTGTGTGTGTGTGTGTGTGAGTGTGTGAGTGTGTGTGTGTGTGTGTGGATTATGAGCGTGAAGGTTGAATATCACTGCAAGTCTTCAGAAAATAAACGGAATGCGGAAATACATGTAAACTCATGTTTTTGGGCAATGTGAGATCCATTTTACATATTATCACAAATTGCTTTATCAGAGAAACATGCACAACAAAAACTTCAAAAATAAATAATAATTAAAATTACAAAGAACAAATTGAATATTGTAAACAAGTGTTGGTTACTGATTTGCCTCAGGTCCCTCTATGGTTCAGCTTCCTGATCAGACGCTTGTTTCTGCATATAATAAAATTAACATATTATAGATGAAACCATATATTACACCCAACTTTCAGAATCACACTCCTTAGCATGTCCACAATAAACATAAAGTTTCAATATGTAGATCAATGCATTGAAAAGAAGTTGAACAACAAGAAGGACCATTGCAATCTCTGGAACTGCCAATTGGTTTCTTTTTTATTAATATGACAAATATTTCCATTTACCAAAGAGCTTGCAAAAATATCGCAATATTTTAAAAGAAATATACTTCCCAGCATCAATCATTTTTTTCTTTTGTCTACATTTCCTTTATTGTTAATATAAGCAATAAAAGTTTATAATAAGTTTACAAATATTATAAACAAAGATAAGGATGTTGAGACAGTTCAGCCCAACCATCGCTGCAGATCGGCCAATCTGTAGCTCAGTCAAGCCTAAGAATGATAGCTTTGATCTCAAAAGCATGAAAAGCAGCAGCTCACAAAAATGTCCACATGATGTAACAAAAACTCCTTCAAATTTGTTAGTATCCTCCAAATATCTTCTATACCCAGCAGAAGACAAACATGTTCTTGACAATACTACCAAAGAAGGAAATTACAGGTATCATAGGTAACTTTGCTAAATTCGTCACCAAGGATTTTGTGGCAACCAATCCAAAAGATTGTTTCTAGTCGTAGGTCAAGGTAGCTTGGTAAATTGAAAATTCATTAAATAAGAAACATAAGGTAGAGAAAATCTTAGGCAAATATGTCACTCACGTCATATAATTTGAAGCGAATTTGAAGAACACTAGTTGCCTACAAAAGCAGCAAAACAATATATAAAACAAATTACAACAATTGAAAATGTTATCTAGGTAATAATCCTGATTTTTCTCATGGGGTACCAAAATCCAGAAAACCAAGTAACGTTAAAGAATTTCTCCATAAGCACAAGGACAAGTAGAAGAAATCCATTCGGCAAAAGCAAGAAGCCTATACCTGCATTCCCCTGCAGATCTCAAGAACTTCATTGATGGGTGCCCAATCCCCGAAATTTCTTTGCATAAACTGATATGCTATTCCACTTTTCCCACTGCCAATTATGAATAGCCCACCTTTGATTTCTCCTTCCCCCTTAAAATTATTCTCGACACCCATAGCTTTAGCATGCTTATAATTCGCAATGGCACGAGGATTGCAAAGAAATCCAGTCACAAACTGGTCTTTCAGCAGCTTACCACCTCCAAGAGCTTTGAAGAAACCCTTGCTTTTGTCCAAGACTACAATCCCACCCCAGTAGCTAGGCCAAATTTTTTTCACCTGAGATGGCAGGAAAATCAATATGCAAACCCAAGTTCAACTCAATTCATCAAAGAGAGGGGTAATCATAGTGCCACAGAGTACCTCTGAGTCAATTTGCTCATGGAGGACGGCAATCAGCTGGAAGCCTAGTGCATCGAATATCAGTTTCCTAGCATAAATCTGGTGAGCTTCAGCTCTACACATGACACATCTGAAACATTGATATGTAACATGAGTAATTATTTTAAAAAAAGAAAAAGAAAAACTCTATAAGTTGAGATTAATTCATATCTTGTTGGCTAAAATATAGCTGGTGAATAACTCCCTGACTTGGCAATTTGAAACTAATCAACAATCCAATAACACAAAATCCTAGAGAATTCCAAGGCAAAAATAGAAGTGACTATAACATAGAATAACTCTAACCATTTCTTTTAAAAAGTTTCTGCTTTATGTGATGTGAATAATTCCTGATAATCTTACAAAGATTTAGAGAAGTTATCAAGATAAATATCTTCATGATGTTTACTCTTCCAGAGTTGCATTGGAAATAACAATGCTCTACCTTTGAGTGCAGTTTGAACCATTGATTTCTGTATTGGAAGTAACCAATTAGGTTTATGGCGAAACCTCGAAATCGATCCCATAAACCTAGAAATTTATCACTGATCCGATTTGAGTGGCTCTATGGGATAAACCTCAACAAAAAAATGAAGAGTAAAGATGGCAGATGATTGAAATCAGTGGTTTGTTGCTTAAACTGAATGAAAGCCTCACTATGTGAGTAATTCTTTCTGTTGCTTTTACAGAACTGCCCTCTTGTATCATTAAGCCATCACTCAATAGTACAACACCAACATTATTGGATTCCAAATTTGAAGCAATGCCTATTGTACTATCTCCATTATTACTTAATCAAGAACATGATACAAGCAATGCCATCACCCACTTGTAATACAATACTTCTAACAGGAGTTACTAGAATTTACATGAATTAGAAGAGCTATTCATTGTTTCATGTGAGACATGGTAAACAAAATTTCCTCTCATTAATTGGAGAAAATTACCATGAGTCTATAACCATCAAACTCGTCAATGAAAGGCATACCCTTGAAGTAAACAAGCTGGGGACTTTTGACAAGTTTCTAGTATAAAACTTGCCTTCAATATATACATTTACGACATGCAGATGGCAATGCTAAGGGAAAATAGGCACATGTGTAATTTCATTTCTCCTCTAAAATAGAAACTTGACCTTGCCCCACAGAGGATAGAAATAACTTGTGAATGGCCACCTAAACGTAGTTACAAGGCCAAAAAAAAAAAGATTGTTGAAACGAGTTACCCATCCTTTTTATAACCGAAACCAAAACCAGTTGTTAATGGACAAGCAAGGCAGCTTAAAACTGAAAAATGAAGAACAGGGAAAGAGAGAAAGCAAACTGCACTCACTGCCCACAGTGTTTGTAGTATAGCCTCACTCACTGAGGAGGTTTCATCTCAACTGTCTTTCACAGAGGATGGACATGGTGATAAGCTTATACTAAATACACTATAGACAGAGCGTAAAATCTAATTTCCTACAGCAGTGTTGCTTTCGAAGAAAACAAGATGAGAATAAACAACCAATAATGCATTACCCAGGGCGTCTGAGACAAAGCAATACAGTTGGTCTATCATGCCAGAGCTCTGAAGCCTTCATGGGTCGGGTCTTTAATTTCACCAATGACTCCATACCCGTCTTATACTCAGGGGTCAGTTTCTGAATTGAAATGCTCTCTATCATGGAATATGGAGCAACATTATCAAGTTCAGGAGGAGGTCGTACAAGCCCACAACACCTAGGCTCAGCAGGTGCAAAAGCAACGATCCCTTTAAAAGTACGCTCCCCTTTGACCCCAAAGGAAGCTGAAACTGTATATTGGGACTTCAAATCCTGGTTCATAGAAACAAAACTCTGCATTCTTCTTGGAAAATTACTGGACATGGCTTCACTAGCATCACCATATTTAGAGAGAGAAGACGTGGTTCTTTTTCTCAATGGGAGAGCAGAAGAAGGGGGCATAGCAATTCCACAAGCAAGTGTCCTATCAATAAATCGAGCAATGTGGCCTCGCTTCATGCCAAATTGAGATGAGAGTACGGTAGTGCTAGAATTAAGAAGCTCGGGAAGAGCCACTCTTGATGCTTCAAGCCTCTCCCCATATTGCATTAAAAAACGATCATGCAAATAAGACCTAAGTTCCAATGCATCCTAAAGAAGGGGGATGGGGGCGGGGGAACAAAGACGGAGAAGGAATCAATACAAATTCATGAAAAGTTTTTCCAAAATGAGAAGTGGGATGTCTGATCCTGAAATACTATCAATTTGAAAATGCACCTCAAAATCCAAAAAAGAGAGAAAAATCATTGTTTCTTGAAAATAATACTCCAAATGACTCATTAAAAAGGCCAGTCATACTCTGAAATTGAATATAAAAACCCCAATAATTACAAACATTAGAGCAATCATTGCAACAAGACATGTTCATGAACGTTTTTATCAAAGCATCCAAACAGTGAAATTAAACAAGAAAAAGAACAATTATTTCCATAGAAAATAATAAAAAAAATGGATAACATAATAAGAGCTTCGTATAACCTTTTGTCTCTGGGACATTTTCATGGAATCCATATCTTTAGAATTCATCATCTTCAGTGTGGGAACATTGTCCCATCCTTCAGCAATCAGCGTAGGAAGCAAATCTTTCAGAACACTATCTCCAACAAACTCTTCCATTGTATAAGATGCCATTGTGGCCAAAATCACCCCCTAATAAAAAGAATGCAACATATGATTTATTAAATAGACCACACTTACAGTGTAAACACTGGATAAACAATTGGAGAAGTCATAAAATCCTAGTACACCCAAACATTTAGAAGAAACCCTGAAAGCGATAAAGGAGCTGCAAATCATCAAATCCAAGGTTCTGGAGTTCTGTAAAATAAAAAATAAAAAACTTGCTTTCCACAAAATACTTAATGCATCACCTGAATCCTGGAACCTAAGAAATTTTAACTTTGACGAAATAATAAATGTAAAACTAGGCCTATTTCTCCGAATGGGGAGATTTGAAGGCACATCAGTCAAGTAAATTTCACAAGAAACCTAGTAAAAATCACAAATATTGCTCAACCTTAAACCCAAACTTCCACCAAACCTGAATTGCATAAAAACTGCACATTAACAAAATCCTGGGTTTTGTATACAGTGACTATGAGACTGGATGACTTAAACTTCCAACAAACCTGAATTTCATAAAAACTGCAAATTAACAAAATCCTGAGTTTTGGGATACAATGACTATGAGAATGGATGACTTGTAGCAAAGTTGCACAAACCCTGTATGAATTGTAGAAACAAAGAAATCAATGCATAAATCAAATATTATATGTAGAGGGCGGTAGATTTCCAGCCAACTGCATCCAGAATTATAAGAAAGACAAATTATAGGCTGTCACAGCCATATGAAACCCACAAGAGGCCTTGATGAGTATCGTATACATCGTGAACTCCAAGAAAAACATCGTGAACTCCAAGAAACCTAATAGGGCCTAATTGCATAGAAATTGTAAATTCCACTCAGGAAATGGACAAGCACCAAAACAAAGAACAAGCTTTAGGACAAAAGCTTCAAACAAAAAGAGAAACAGTCAATTCAGAATTCTAGGTCATCAAGCTTGCCCAAATTTGCATAATGTCACTTATAGAACAATCAGATTACTTCCACCTAAAAGGTTACAAATATTTTACCTACCCAATTATTAAGGTTTAATTTTAACTTGAACTTGAATAAACAAGCAGAAAACAACTATTTATGCGAGGTGGGCCTTCGGAGATATCCCAAATCGGACAATGGTCACTATTACCACTAATCAATATATTAACGTATAAAGCACAAAACACCGATACTGTTCCTCTGTTCAAACTTCAAACAAGTTGGTTCTCTAAACCGACAATAGAAACCTAACAAGATCCAATGTTGCATATTCTTTGAAATGACAACATCAACTGTACGCGTAATCAACTAAGTTTCCCAAACAAAATTAAAACAAAGATGCGAATATTGTTTTATTCATATCAACTGGTTCTTAATGAATTCCCCCATATCAAGGTTTTCCAAATGATTTTGAAACATTATAACTTCACATTTAAATTCCCTGGATGCCCAGTAAAGTATGAAACTATAGGTTATATGTATATATAAAGCACCTGAAGATATTCCAAGAAAGATTCTATAAAAAATAAAAAAAGAACACAAAACAATGTGCCAAAGAAAAAATATCACAGGAATAGATTCACAAGGCTCGGCAAGTTTCAAGTTCTAGGGTTTCAAAACTCTTAAAACCCAAACAGTGCAAGTTATCAATATAATACCCAAGAAAAAAGAGAGGTACATAATATCTAATATTTCAAAGTAAATGTTTCTGAATATAATAGACTGTGGTTTTCTGAAATATAATTGTTTTAACACCTCTGAGATGTGATAAATGGTACAAAAAAAACATGTCAATTCCAAATAAAATTAAATATAAATAAAAAATAAAAAACAGGAAGGGTATCTTATCCAAGGCAAATGAATATTGAACATCTTAGGTCCATCAAATATGAAGAAATCTCTCTCCTTCTTACTTTAAGGTTCTCAAAAAGCAAAAGCAAATCTTATTTTCAAGAGAACTTTTGCCAAAATCTTGGGTATCAAGTGGTTCCAGAAACCATAACTCATTTTAGAAAAATTCCTAAAATACATAGCTTTCCATTGGTTATAAGAATCCTAATTCTTTGTTTTTAACTGAAAAAATAAAAATAAAAAATCAAGTGCTTACTCAAAAGAACCTTGAGTTTCCAAAAATTCATGGTTTTCAAATGATTCTTTCATGATAAATTCATTAAATTTATTTCAAGTAATAGGAAATCCATGTTTCACAAGAGAATAATTTCCAAAACCTATGTTCTGCAAATGGTTATGAAAAAACAAAATCCAAGTGGAGAGACTTTAATTTTCAAAAAAACTGGGTTTTTCATATGGTTTAGGTAAACTTCCAATTCATGAGAAAGAGCAATCTTCAAATTTTAGGTTTTTAAATGGTCTTAATAACCCCAATTCACAATAGATCTTGATCTCAATATCATACGGACATCCATATGTTTCTGAGAAAACCCAATTCGAAAGACCGAATTTTTAAAAAATCCACACAAAAAACTCTGAAATCAAACAATTTATAAATTCAATAACAAAAAATCAAAGAGAAAATCACTCAAAATAAATAAATAAATAACATGAAATAAGCTAACCTTGATGTTTCTATGGTAGTGTGAAACGCAGTTATTCACTTATTTGCGTGTAAATGTGAAAATTTCAATCAACAGATAACCAGTTGCCTGTAAAATTTCCCCCGAAAAAGGTAAATTAAATTAATTAAAAATTTTAAATTTAATTCTATACCTTTGTATATCATAAAATAATGAATTAACAACCTCTTCGACAAAACGATAAAATACAAAATGCTTATGGAAAATAAAATAAAAAATAGCGATGAAATTGTTCTTAAAATTATCATGAACAATGCTAATAAATCACTAAGAAAAGTAGCAAAATGGATATCTTTTAGCTAAATAATCAATAGACGATGTTCATCCAAACTTGACAAATTTAGGAACCTAATACTAAATTAATAATAATATTAATATTAATAGTAGTAATAATAATAATAATAATAATAATGGTAATAATAATAATAAAAAAAATAAGTTTTTTTTCGAATTTGGACAGGAGCTCCGGCCATGGCTATCGTTCGTGATGTCACCAACTGAGCGGAGAAATTTTGAGGCGAAGTGCCGTTGCCATTGAATTTTCGAAACTGACCTCTTTTCTTTTCTTTTATTCACAATTGCTCGTAGCCATCCAATGTGAAATTTGACGGCTTGAAAGACTCACAAAGTTCGAAAAAGTTCAAAAAGTTTGATTTGAAATTTGTGTTTGGCCAATAGACTGAAGGTGTCGTTGACAGCTTCAGTGTCTTCTAAAGTTCGAGAAAGTTGAAAAAAATTTCATTTGAGGTTTGTGTTTGGTCATTAGAATAAAGATGCAGTTTGCATCCGCAGGTGTAGACGTAAGGTGCACCTTTAATTATGATCCTGGTATATAATTGATGTCAAATATTTTTAGGATTATCTTAAAATTTATTTTTATATCTAATTATAAAATTTTAAATTTAAAAATAGTTAAAATCAAGTAGATCCATAAACATATGAAAATGTTTTTAGGATTATCTCAAAATCTATTTTTATATCTAATTATAAAATTTTAAATTTAAAAATAGTTAAAATCAAGTAGATCCATAAACATATGAAAATCTTGAAAATGGACGACGTAAATAATATGTTGTAAAATGTACTATTTCTGAGGCTTAAAATATTTTTATTTTTCATAGTCATACATCTCGATGTCAAGATGATCAATCAAAGTGTTTTTCAACATTGAAACTACCTTTTCTGATGGATTTTTGAGGGGCATCCATAGTTCTACGTTATAAGGTTGCATCCTTACTTTTGCTATAGAATAAATGCAACAAGACAATTTCATATTCAAAAGTCAAAATTAATTAATGGGGATTGTATACAATAAGACCATTTACCTTAGAGACAAAGTCAGAATTACTTACAACCATTTGATGTAAAATCTGATAACTTGGGTGCATCACAAAGTTTGAGAAAATTTCTTTCGAAGTTTGTGCTTGGTCAATAGAATAAATCCAGCAACCTAATTTCATATCAAATAGTCAAAATTAATTGTAATCATCTTGTATCAAAGATAAATGATCTCATTTTATATTTTTTCTTAATTAATTATGACCACTGCGTACAAAAGATAAATGGTCTCCTTTTATATTTTTTTATATATTTTACTCTTAATTTTATTTGATGTTTGTTAATGTAAAATATCTACAGAACTTTTACAATATTTGGAACAATCGTTTGAACAACCCTTTAGTGCAAATAAAATGCATGCAATGTAGAAGTTATTTCTTTTAAGGGAAAAGTTTATATAAAGCCGAAGCTCTAAACAATCAAATTTGAGCCTACCTAAAAAATTTCACTAGAATAAATTCTTTTGATGCTCAAATATCTTTAAATTGATCATCTCGACATCAAGATGTATGGACATGAGAAAAAAATGGATTCCAAGTTTTGAAAATAGTGCATTTTGTAACACATTTTTAGACTATCAATTGTCAAGATTTTAAAGTTTTCATAGATATGTCGATCTACACTACTTTTGAAGCTTTAAACTTTATAAATAAGGGTTTGTCTAGAGTTAACAACCCCTCAAAATACAAAGGCTCGAGTTATAAGAGGTTGTGATGGATGTATTTATTAAAACAATCATTATTTTTTTATTAAAAAATTATTTAAATAGATAACTTTATCATTAGCAAGGGAAAATTTGAAAATTTGACAAAAATACAATGGCATTTTGGAAGTTAATGTCTTTGGAACTGTATTTATAAAGTGCTCTTGTCCTTTAGTTAAAATTTCAATTTTACACCTTATGGAGATGACAAAAGTACCCTTTATCTTGTAATAATATTTACAAAATTGCCCCACAAAAGTAACTTTTTTAAAAGAATATACTACAAAATTAATAAATCCACCCTTCACAACTTTCTCTATCTTGAACCTTTGTAATTTGAAGGGTAGTAAAGTTTAGAATATCCCTAATATGAAAATATATTTTAAGGCAATCACAAAAATTTTCAATATTGAAACCACATTTCTCAACACTATATGAAGGTAGGCTCTAATTTGATTGTTTAGAGCCTAGGCTCTATACAAACCACACCCTTCTTTTAAAAATGAAAGAATGTGTCACAATTAGAAAGCATGTGAGTAAATGTAATTATATTTTTGCATAATTAAGATCATAAAAAATCATGTTCGATAAAGAAGTATTATGTTTCTTTTTGCTGAGTTTTTTTCCTTCTAGCTAGGATACCTTAGTTATAATTGTGACAAATACAATGGGTAACAAGTTTAATTTGAAGGATGTTATTGCTTAATTGATGAATGAAGAAACTAAAAAGCATATATACAATGCCTATTCAATCGAATCAAGCAGTGACAACAAAAGATGGAGAAAAAACACAACATAGAGATCAACCATTTGAATTTAATAAGCGTAAATCTCATGCCAGAGGCACGTCCAAGTGACAGGGAAAGAAGACTACTTGTTGGTATTGCAATAAACCCGGTTATATATGCTATGAAAAATACGTAAAAGTCAAGAGCAATGGTAACCATGTCGAAGCAAGTACTGTTTTTTTTATGGTGAAGAAATTGTCACTTTTAGTGTTGCATGGCCAACACTGTCTACTAAAGATACTTGGGTTTTGAATGTTGGTGTCTTATTCATATTTGCTCTGAAATGTCATATTTTTCAGCATACATAAATGGAGCATGCTTGCAAATTTTTGGGCATTGGAAATTGTTGTTATTAAGAAATCGGATGGAAAGAAATATACTTTGATAAATGTGAGGCATATTTTTTACTCGAATGAATATCTCCTTTCAACAGAGCAATTGGACGATTATAGTTTCATAATGACTTTTGGAAGTGGGTTATTAAATATTTCAAGAGGTGGCATGACAATGTTATAAGGGCAAAAAGATGGAAGTCTTTATATTCTTCATGGTAGGCTCAAATGAATGATGTTGTAGAGAAGATCATTGTTATAACTAGTAGGCATGATAATATGCAGAGTTGGCAAAACCGTTAGGTCATCTCAGTGAGTATGATATGAAGATATTATAAAATCAAAATCTTATGCCTATTTGTAAACATTTATTTCTTGATTTTTGTGATCATTGTGCCATAGGTAAGCAATGTAGAGTTAGCTTTAAAAAAAAAATAAATCATGTAGAGAAAGTAGAGCTTAGAATTGATATACTATGATGTTTGTGACCTTGTTGATGTGAGATCTCTTAGTGGAGTTTATTTTATCACCTTTTTAGGTGATTATTATTATTTTTAGATGATTATTTTAGAAAGTGTTGGTTGTATCATTTGATATCTAAAGGTTAAGTTTTAAATTTTTTAAAAATTTTAACGACGAGGTTGAAAAAGAAATCAAAAGATTTAGTAAATGTATGCAAACTGATAATAATGGTAAATATTGCTCAAATGATTTTGATGTTTTTTTAGAGAGAATGGAATTCGCAGAGCAATGACTATTCCTATAACACCACAACATGATAATGTTATTGAGAGGATGAATAGGATCATTATTGAACGTGTAAAAAGCATGCTTTCACAATCAGGTCCTGGAATGCAAATTTTGGCTAAAGCTGTTAATACAGTTGTATATTTGATCAATAGATTTCTTAGTGCACCCATGGTGCAATACCTAAATTCTTTAGGAGATAAAAGTGTATTATATGTTCACTTGAGAACATTCGGTTGTGAAGCTTATATTCAAGGACCAAGTGAAAATAGAACTATGGTGGATGCCAAGTCAAGAAAATGTGTTTTTCTTGAGTATGATGGTGATAATAGAGGAGATCCTATTGCAAAAAAAAAATATGGATATTCTCTTTAATGAGAAGTGATGTCTAATGAAAAGAAGCAAATGAGAGCCAAAACAATAAAGACTTGTTGTAAATATGTAAGCTCGAGATCCATTATATTACCTCAACAAATGCAATAAACTCAGGCTCAAGCTCAGGATAATGTTAATAGATGTGATGTTACTTGTGAGGAAGACAATGAATTGATTGAAAATGATGAAGGCCTACTGGGTACACTTGTGTAAGAATTGAGAAGATCTATATGCCCTCACAAGCCTACACAAAGGTATGCTCTTTCCTTACATTATGGTGGTAAACGTGTTTGTTTAGAAGCCTATTTATTGCGCTAATGCTAAAAAACGAATGGTCTTATGCAATATAAAGCTAGACTTCTAGTGAAACACTATGGGAAAAATCAAGTGTTGATTTTAATGAAATATTTGCTCCTATTCTGAAGCATAGCTCTATTAGAGATATTTTATCTTTGGTTGCTAACTTGAATTTGGAGATAGAACAACTTGATATTAAAACTGCTTTCTTGTATGGCAATCTTGAAGAAGAAATTTATGTTAATTTAAAGGTTTCAAGGATAAAGCTAAACCCAAATTGGTTTGCCATTTAAAAAAAGGGATTGTATGGTTTGAAGAAAGTATTGAGGCAATTGTATAAGAAATTTGATAGTTTTATG